CAAGTCTTGCACAAGTCTCCCACAAGTCCTAATTAATACACAGAATAATGTGCTCAGAAACTTGTGAAAATATTGGCGCCGACAGCCGAGACGATGAATCAACTTTGACAAGCGATAACTCATTTCAGAGTTGATCAAGTAATTAGCATCCGTGTGATATGAACCTGCTAGCTCATCAAAGCTTACATTAGACGTCACGCGAGCCGCCCATTTCCAAACCAGAAATAACAGTTCTTTCTGGAATTTCGAACACAGAATTCTTTAAAATCCAAGAGTTCTCTTTTTGACCCACATCATTGCAAACAGTAGTTTCCAAAATATGGATTGAAATGGTTTCGGAGCAATCGGATGGATCTCGAATTTCAATGTTCCAAGAAATATGTTGAGAACGTTCCCGATTCCTGAATTTCCGGGAAAAAAATTGCTGTAGAACTTCTTTCATATCTTACCTATTCCAGCCAAAATTTATATATTCTTGAAAATTCCAAAATTCCTATGATCCCATACTATGCGGTTCTTTTATAATTGTTGGCAAGTCAAAGGAGTCTTATTTCGGAAATTTCGGTAGTGACACTTCCTGTACCGTCTCCATATGCCTTTCCTCATAGTATGCCGAGATCCTTTGTCGTTACGGTAGACAAGAGGGACCGCATTGACTGAAAAGGCGCCGCCCATCTGTTAGCCATGTGTTAGAGTTTAGTTTTTGTTAGTCATTCATTCATTCAGTTTGTGTCGATGCTCTGACTACTTTCTCTCTTCCGGTTGCTATTTTTTCATTGATTCTTTTTTCCGCTTTTTTCTACTGTGGCATACTGTCCTTTCCACACTCTTCTTTCTGGCTACCATTCTCTCGTAATAGCTGCAACTTGATAAGCTTTGCTGTGCTATCATATTTTATAACCTTATAGCTTTGATATCAGACTTTCTACTACTGATATTCTTTCGTATCATTCCAATGCACAGTCTTTGATCATTTCTAGGATTCAGAGGCATCCTACTGTAGCGTACTGTAGCTTTCCTTTATTCATACATTAAACTGTTTCTCTATTTTCTGACTATCACATACTATCCGTGGTTTTGAGTTAAAAACGAAATTCAAATTTCCTCCTCTCTATTTGTCATCAAGTAGAAGTTGTAAACTATAAGTCTGCTAACCGTAAACGCATAGTTAGTGTCACTCGGATCCAAAAAGCCTTCCGAGAAGAATTGAATTGACTCCTTCACCTCATGTTGTTTTGATCTATCCCCTTTGTCGGCATTCTTGATCAAGAGAATACCGTGGAAGACCATAAAAGCCTTTCCATAACATTCAAACTACTCGTTTCTTTGTTTTTCGTGCTCTGATCGCCATGCTCCATTCATTCTGCCTAACTAACAATCTCATCCTATTTCAGATCCTTCATCTCATCACTAAAATGTCATCCCCAAATGGAAATACTCGTTTTCTGGCTTTCCTTCATGATCTTCCCGACGACGTCAACGAAGACTGTGCTGTCTGGACAGACAAGCCAAACTTGAAATTCAAATTTGTAAAGCCTAATCGTGCTGCCGAGTTGTGGGGAGCTGAAACTGAAAACCCACAAATGGACTATGAAAAGATGTCCAGAGCTCTTCGTTACTTTTACAAGAAAAAAAACTGTGTCTTGCCTACGAACAAAATTACAAAACCATAAAGCTGTGACTGAGTAGCTGAGACGGTTTTTGGCTTGCAACTTAGTTCAAAGACAAGATACAGTTTTCCAAAGTGTATCATTTTGTAGTATCCATTGAGTTCTCTTAAATTTAGTTTAGTTGGTAAAACAATTGATTCGTAAAGAACCTATGGCAAGGTCCGCAGAGTCCCGGTTTACAAGTATGGTACCAAATCTTAATTCCGAATTTTCAGATCCCCGGAAAGGACTTTCGTTATCAATTCATCAACACAAAAGCCCCAGCATTCAATCGAAGAAAATCGAAGAAAATTTTCAGTGATCGATTTTTACCTTTTTTCACAAAAATCGGTATACGATTATTCGCATTATAGCGCATTTACAGATAAGTACCGGAAAAAAGCTTTGAAAATGGAAATTGTCAAAAAATGGTTGAAATTTGTCGAAAAATCGGAGAAATAATACAGAAAATAATAATTTCCTTAAGGGGGTCATTCTACTGGACTTAATTTTTGGCTGTAATACGAATGGAAGAAAGACCAGAGTAATACCATTTATGTACTGAATATAACTTCTAGTTTTGTGTTACTATTTTTGGTTTATATTTGGATCCTAACAGAATGGTACGTGCTCACCAATTTATCTAGAAACCATGTTTGAAAATGCCATGATTCCCTTTAGGGTTAATATTTTTGAACCAACTAAAAAAGAGATGAGAGAACCCAATGAGTGCTGCAAAATGATAGTATTTGGAAAACTCTATCTTGTTTATGAACAAAATTACAAGACCATACAGCTGTGACCGAGTAGCTCACAAGTTTTTGACTTGTAACTTTGTTCACAGGCAAGATACAGTATTCCAAATAATATCACTTTGTAGTTCTTGAGTTTTTCTATAATATCAAAGTTAGTTAGTCCAGAAAAATTGATTCTAAAAGAAACTATGGCAGGGCCCCATGTATGCTAGAAACAAAATTTGCTAGAAAAATAACTGATTTCTGGTTTCAATATGTTTTTCGGAAAGCTTTTTCCTGAAGAACAATTGTCTTCAAAATCAACGGTAATACACATGAACACATACGTGAACCCGTTGTCTCACCTGCCAACAGCAATCCAGCAGACTACACATGAGACTACAGACAAGAGCGACTACACAGAGTGGCTGATCAGACGACACAGAGGACAAACGTTAGAGGCGTAGTCATTCCTCTCTTTTCTCTCTTTTTATTCACCTCCCGTTCTGCTAGTGATGATTTTTGGAAGACATTCTTATTCTCTTCTCAAAACTATTGTCTCGAATCGAACCTTTGCTTCAATCGCATCTACAGAAATGAGTGAACCCATAGTGCATCGAAAGCTAGTGAAGTTTCAGAAACTGGATGGTAAAGCTGCGGAGGTCCAGGCTGTTTATGAGGTAATATTTCTCCTATTTTTCTAAAATTAAAATTTTTTGTTTAGGATTCCCTCTCCTCTGGCTCCTCTGTAGGTACTGTAGTTGCGTTTCATGGGTCTCCTGGATCCCATAAGGATTTCAAATTCATCCGCCAGAGGTTGGATGCAATGGGCGTTAGGTTCATAGGAATCAATTATCCAGGATTCAAGCAGACTGAAGGTTAGTAGTTTTTTTTTTTTAATTTGCTGATTGTCTTGGTTTTAGGGTACGCTGGACAGGATCACAGTAACGAGGAGCGTCAGAGCTACACAAATGCATTTCTGAAAGACATGTCGCTTTCTGGAAAAGTGATATTTTTGGCGCATAGTAGAGGATGTGAGAATGCGCTCATGACGGCTACAACCTTTCCGGCTACCGGACTTGTGATGATGAATCCAGTGGGCTTACGACTCCATAAATCCCTTCGTCCACTGTCAAGATATCAACGTCTTGAATCTGTCTACAATATGCTCCCAAAGTTTCTAGGGGATGCTATGATTTATAAAAGTAAGTATTGGATCTCAATTAAGTCTCATTTCTTTTTAATATTCTAGTGTATCACTCATTTGGTCTCAAAGTTCAAGATGGTGAGGAGGCAATCAATGCTCTCCGTTCTGTAATTCGCTGTGGGCTTGACAAAACTCTACCGTACATTCAGAAACTACAGAAGCAAGATGTAAGTTCATTAGAGCGAATTTGAATTATTAAACCTGAATTTCAGACAAAGAACTTTATTATTTTCGCCGGGAGAGACATCATTGTGGAGGAGGAAATTATCTTTGAATCGCTCAAAGAATACAAAGATTTGGAGCATTTTGTAGGTTAAAAAAATTGAAAAAAAGCAATCATGGGTACTTTTCAGGACTATGAATATGATATCCCTTTCGATGACTTTTCTAAAATCCTGAAGACGTTCGATTCAGGAAAAGGAGCATCTGTATTTGTGAAGAAGGATAAGCATTATCAGAACAAGGCACGAGCTGATTTGGTTGCAGAGGTGGTCAGAAAGATTCTAGACTTGGATGGTGTGAAGAAGAACAAGCTGTGATTAACTTATCAATAAAGTACTTATGATCTGACTAACATTTTTTTTGTGATTTGATTTCTGACGTCTACGTCTCATTTCAAAGACAAAAAACACAAAATAATGCTCAAATTCTTTATATCAGTGGTTAATCAGTTGACAATCACTTGTTCAAATGAATATGAATATGGATGTCTCGGATGCGGTCAGCTCTGGTTGATCCACGATGATCAATCTCCATGGGCTCGAACGTCTCCGCCTTGATGACCTCTCCATCACCTCCAATCCTCATTGCAGCGAGCTTTTCCGTCTTGATCGCCTCTGCACCACCGCCAATTTTCATTGGCGCGAACGTCTCCGCCTTGATGACGTCGTCTCCCAAAGAACTGTTGGAGATCATCAACGGAGCGAAAGTTTCGGCGTTGATCTCTTCTTCAGCGACGGAAGGGACAGTTGGGGGTTTGAATGTGAAAAGATCTTGATGTGGTACGTGAGAATCAGTAAAACGAACTCTATGAGGAAAATACTCCGCCTCAGCAGTCGAACCTCTATGAGTCCAGTACACCTTCTCAGCAGTTGTGGTGCCTTCTTCTTCTGGAGCAGCTGTAGTTGATGGGGCTTCTGTTTATGGTCCTGGAGTGACGTCCTCTTCAGATGGTGGCACACAGACTCCAGTGGTCTCGCAGATTCCTGACGATAGTGTCCAAGATTGACGAATTTGAATGGAGGGATGGTTTCGGTGTTTGCTTTACATGCGGAGTTTCCGCCGGCGTAGAATCCAAGCATGACATGGCGATGACCCATTTTAGCGATGGCGCTTCCACCGAAGTTTCCCTGCAAATCTAGGAGATAAAACCTGCACTTCGAATTCTTACTAACCTGGCATAATCCTTGAGAAGACTTGTTAGAAGCCTCAGCACATGAGAAAGGAGCCGAAGCCGAGCACTCAATTGGTCTGAACCGTCCACTAACTAATCGTCCAGGTCTGTCCATCCCGTATACCGAAAATCCACCAACACGTTCCCAGTTGCGTGCAGAGTTCGAAATACACACTGGCACAGTGCTGTTCTCCAGTGGAGCAATCAATTCGAGAATCATCGGATTGGAAGGAAGAAGCTTTTTGCATCCGTTGATTACAGTGGCTTTCGCAATCGTGTTACGGAACTCGCGATTCCCATTCATATCGTTCAGATACTCCAAATCGGCGTCATACCTGGGAAGAAGTTCCTGTGGCAAGATGAGATTGTCTCCTTCGCAAATTCCCTTGATTCCAGTATCCTCCATTCCGAGAAGATTCAGATTTTCAGTAGAACGGAAGAGGGAATTGAAAGCGACGATGTGACGAGAAGAAATCATGGTTCCGGGTCCAAGAAGGGTTTTGAACTGGTTCTTCTTATTGTAGTATCTGACGTAGACGGAAACGGCCCATGGATGTTCACCTTTCTTCACATATTCTCCGTTGATCACTTTTCGACTGTAGCCACCGGCTTCTGAAAAGTGGTTCTCATTAGAGCGCCCTGTGTTTCTGAAAACTCACTTTTTCCACAAATCAGTTGAGTTTGTTCATTCTCTTGTTCCGAAATCTTTCAAGCTCCAACACCAACGACGAAGACTACCAGTGGTAGAAGAGAAAGTATCTTCATAGTAGAAGATGGATGAAGAAAGAATATAATGATTTTTGGAAAACGGCAGAGGGTTTTTATAGTCCCAAACAATCGTTATGAATAAATTATAGGTCGTAAAAATTGTTAAAAGAGGCGGAGCCTATTTTTCGAACATTTTTCGTGGTGCGTGTGATGAATGGGTTTACCATTTTTGATCAGAGATCAAAAGTAGAGACTGAAAAAGATTATCACACACAAAGGACTGATTAGGACAAGGATCCCCAAGGTATGAAGTTAGAATTGGGACCTCTAGGATTCAAAAGACCTTTAGAGTCCCCATGATCCTATATGGTACCAATTCTTCCTAGGCTTCCGGTGCTTTCCGAAATTAGGGATTCGTCCTACTGTATCAGCTACAGGTTATTGATTCATGAATACTTATTAGTGACCACAGACAAAAAAGAAAAAAAATAATTATGACTTGAGAACATAGTCATTAGTAATTTTCAAGGCTACAAAAACTACAAAAATATCGCTTCCGATTATTTTTCAAAAATCCTGAAGAAGTCCGATTTCGGAAGAGGAGCATTTGTGTTTATAAAGAATCGAAACAAGTTGCAAGCTAATTTGGTTGCAGAGGTGGTCAAAAAGATTCTAGACTAGGATGGTGTGAGGAAGATCCAAGACCAGAATTGTTTTTTTTTTGTTTAGATTTCCGATTTCTATATTTCTGACTGACATTTTTTGTGATTTGATTTCTGACGTCTACGTCTCAGTTCAGAGACAAAAAACACAAAATAATGCTCAAATTCTTTATATCAGTAGTATATCAATCGACAATCACTTGGTCAAATGAATATGGATATGGATGTCTCGGATGCGATCAGCTCTGGTTGATCCACGATGATCAATCTCCATTGGCTCGAACGTCTCCGCCTTGATGACCTCTCCACCATCGCCGTTGATGATGTCTCCTTCCGTAGAACTGTTTGAGATAATCAACGGAGCGAAAGTTTCGGCCTTGATCTCTTCTCCGTTGACGGAATAGTGTGCAGTGGTGTCTTCTTCTGGAGCAGCTGTAGTCGATGGGGCTTCTGTTCGTGGTCCTGGAGTGACGTCCTCTTCAGGTGGTGGCACACAGACTCCAGTAGTTTCACAGATTTCCTTACGATAGTGTCCAAGGTTAACGAATTTGAATGGATCCATTGTTTCGGTGTTTCCTTGGCATTCGTAATTTCCGCTGGCGTAGAATCCAAGCATGACGTGGCGATGATTGATTTTAGTGATGGCACTACCACCATAATCTCCCTGGAAAAAGAGCGAGTTTTATTATACCTATTGAATTGGTCCACAAGAGCTGAAAATTTGAAAAAAACTGACAGTACATAATCCTTGAGAAGACTTGTTCGAAGCCTCAGCACATGAGAAGGGAGCCGAAGCCGAGCACTCAATTGGCCTGAACCGTCCACTGACCAATCGTCCTGTTATGTTCAATCCGTAAACCGAAAACCCACTAACACGTTCCCAGTTGCGAGCAGAGTTCGAGATACACACTGGTACAGTACTGTTTTCCAGTGGAGCAACCAATTCAAGAATCATCGGATTGGACGCAAGAAGCTGCTTGCATCCGTTGATCACTGTGACTTTTGCAATCGTGTTACGGAACTCGCGATTCCCATTCATATCGTTCAGATACTCCAAATCGACGTCAAATCTGGAGAGGAGCTCCTGTGGCACAATAAGATTATCTCCTTCGCATATTCCTTTGTATCCAGTATACTCCCGTCCGCTGAGGTTCAGATTTTTAGTAGAATAGAAGAGGGAGTTGAATTTGATGATGTGACGAGAAGAAATCATGGTTCCGGGCCCGTAAATAAACTGGGACTCGTTCTTCTCATCGTAGTATCTCGTGTAGACAGAAACCGCCCATGGATGTTCACCTTTCTTCACATACTCTCCGTTGATCACTTTTCGACTGTAGCCATCGGCTTCTGAAAAGTGGTTCTCAATAGATGTGTTCCCTGTTTTTCTGAAAACTCACTTTTTCCACAAATCAGTTGAGTTTGTTCATTCTCTTGTTCCGAAATCTTTCCAGCTCCAACACCAACGACGAAGACTACCAGTGGCAGAAGATGAAGTAGTTTCATAGTAGAAGATGGATGAAGAAAGAATAGAATGATTTTTGGAAAACGGCAGAGGGTTTTTATAGTCCCAAACTATCGTTATGATCGAATTATAGGTCGTAAAAATTGTTGAAGGAGGCGAAGCCAAATTTTTGATTGCGTGGGATGAAAAGGTTTTCCATTTTTGATCAGAGATCAATAAAGAGTGGGTGAATAAGATCATCGCACTTAAAGGAGTTTTAGGGCAAGAATCTTCAAGATATAAAACGTTAGATTTGAGATTTATCAGAACAAGGCACGAGCTGATTTGGTTGCAGAGGTGGTCAAAAAGATTCTGGACTTGGATGGCGCAAAAAAGAACAAGTTTTGGTTAACTTATCAATAAAATATTAGTTATCTTTCCGACATTTTCCACTGGATCAGAACCCATCTCTGAATTTCCATAATCCGATTTTTTCGTGATTTATGAATTCTATAAGATTTCACTTGAAAGATGTAAAAAAAAAACACAAAATTATGCTTCGAATTCTTTATTTAAAATGTTCATCAATCTAAAATCACTTGTTCAAATGAATATGAATATGGATGTCTCGGATGCGGTCGGCTCTGGTTGATCCACGATGATCAATCTCCATGGGCTCGAACGTCTCCGCCTTGATGACTTCTCCATCAAAGCCAATTCTCGTTGGATCAAATATTTCAGCGTTGGTGACGTCTCCTTCCGTAGAACTGTTTGAAACGATCAACGGAGCAAAAGTCTCGGCTTTGATTTCCTCTCCAGCAGTTGTGTTTTTGAGTGTACCGGGTTTTTCATATGGTACCTGAGGATCAGTAGAAAGAACTTCAAGTGTAGGCTCTTCCTCAGCAGTCGTGGTGTAGGCTCCTCCTTCAAGTGTAGGCTCCTCCTCAGCAGTCGTGTTTTCTTCTTCTGAAACGACGGTAGTCGATGGGGCTTTGTGGTCCTGGAGTGACGTCCACTTCACATGGTGGCACACAAACTCCAGTGGTCTCACAGATTTCTTGACGATAGTGTCCAAGGTTGACGAATTTGAATGGATCCATATTTTCTGTGTTTCCTTGGCATTCTTCGTTATCGCCGGCATAGAATCCAAGCATGACGTAACGTTGATCTATGTTAGCGATGGCACTTCCACCGTAATCTCCCTGCAAAAATAACAAATCTTATTATAGCAATTGACTTGGTTGCTAGGAGCTAAAAAGTTGGAAATTACTAACCTGACATAGTCCTTGATACGCTTTGTTCGAAGCCTCAGCACATGAGAATGGAGACGAAGCCGAGCACTCAATTGGTCTGAACCGTCCACTAACCAATCGTCCTGGTCCGTTCACTCCGTAAACCGAAAACCCACCGACACGTTCCCAGTTACGGGCGCAGCCCGAAATACACACTGGTACAGTGTTGTTTTCCAGTGGAGCAATCAATTCGAGAATCATCGGATTGAACGGAAGAAGCTCCTTGCATCCATTGATTACTAGTTATCCGATGGTTCGGATTCAGTGGCCTTTGTAAACGATAAAAAGAGATTTAGTCGAGAAAATTACTAATTTATCCTTATCCAAGGACTAAAATAGTACAAACGATATAAAATATTATGGAAAACCAGCAAAAACCCTAAAACACACTTCAAAACTACCCTATAAAGAACACTCAACCAAAACTAACTAAAAACACGACTTGCCACGTCGTCGGCGAGACGGGCGGTACGCGTACGGCATCAGCGGAATAGCGGAGCGTCGTTGCGAGTGGGCGCGTAGTACCGTAAGAAAGGGTTGATGAGTTGGCGGGCATGCCTACCGGCAACTTCCCCCTCCTCCGAAAAACCGGACCCCTGACCGGTGGCATGAAAGGTACAGGACCACTCGACTTATACTCAACTCATACTCCTTTTGAAATTACCGTCACGTGACCCTACGCCTTCCTACTCAAACAATAACACAAGAGATTTCCTAACATGTCTTAACGGCCTCAGATTACAAAAATTGAAACGTCCTATTGAACTCATAAAAATTCTAACTGTCCTATTGACCTCACTAGTTACTACAAAACAGAACAACAATAAAAATTTAATATATTCGGCTCCTTCGCCTTGTCCTCAATTTGCACGGTGCTTCTTGATCTTTGGCTCTGAGTCTTCAACGTCTGCTCTCAGTCGATCCACCAACGAGTGGCCTGGGATGGCGCACGCCAAGTATTCCATCATCTTCTCCAGCGATCCTGGTTTCAAGTCGCAGAGGATCAACGGCATCTTCTTGGGTCCTACTGGAGTCATTGGATCTACGACTTCCACATTCAGCGCCGTCTTCCTTACTTTCTGCCATTTTTCGGTGACTCCTCCAACCTCGTCGTATCCGCACTCCATTCTTGCCGGTACCACCACCAATTCCCAAACTTCCTTGGCTATCTCCTCCACCAAGTTCACCAACGCCTTCAACTGCTTATCGTCCTTCGTCCATTCGACCAGAACCACCGCCTTCTCCACTTTCTCCCATCCAAACTTCTGCTTCCACGTCGAGATTGTTGCCGTTCTCACTTCGAAAACTGCCTTACTCTTCAATCCCATCCGTTGACCCACGAGAATATACTTCTCCTGGATTATCGCCTTCTGCGGTTGATTCCTATACATCACTTCCTTCTTCAAGCTCTCCGCGGCCTCTCTCCACTCCAATCTTCCTCCGTCCAGTCGTTTCTCATGATCTTGCTGGCCCATGTGGGACAAATTCCAGCGAATTTTCTGAGTGCTTCGAGTCTTTCCGACTTGCCGAGCTTCTTCCGAAAGTCCTCTTCACATTTCATGAGATTTACATCTTCAGAAGCGATCTTCTCGTTCCTCGCCAATGTACTCAGCGCCAAACTCTTCGGATCATGACACTCTCCTCCCAAGGCTTCCACATAGTGAGCTTTTCCTTTCTGGCATCCGCATTCCTCCTTCTCTTCTTTTCTGTAAGAATTTACATTATCCAACGTCAAATTCCCATCATCTTTTTCAGTGTTTCCCTTCTTCTACTACATTCACCGCCACCTTCTTTTTTCTACCGCGCTGTCCCCGTCTAGCCTCGGTTTCACACTTCACCTCTGCCATCTCTTTTGGAACCTTCCGAAGTTGCTCCCACGGGATCCATAACTTCTCTTCTCCTCCTATGAGCTGTACTTCTGCGGAGTTTACCGTCGTTGCTACCACTCTATACGGCCCTTTCCATGGGTTAACCAACTTTGCATTTCTGGCTCCCAATTTCTCCGCAGGAATCTTCACCAATACTCTGTCGCCTACTACTGGGTACTTCCTCCCAACCACTTTATGCTTTTCATCAAAACCGTCCT